TTAGAGAAATCCAAAGTAACCGCGGAGCCTTTGCAGCGCTTCTACGCGATGGCTCCGTCGTAACCTGGGGCTGTGGCCTTCATGGTGGCAACAGCAGCAAAGTGCAACATCAGTTGACAGATGTGGAGCAGATCGCAAGCAACTTCAATGCTTTCGCTGCCATTAAGGCCGACGGCACGGTTGTATCATGGGGCTTCCCAGAGCGCGGTGGCGACAGCAGTGCCGTGCGAGATCAGCTCAAGAATGTGCGGGGTATCGCAGCCTCCGCTCTTGGTTTTGCTGCCGTTCTTGACAACGACCAAGTCGTGAGCTGGGGCGACTGGGTGGCGCGGCCCTTGACTCCACGGTGAGCCGTGCGGGCTGTGAATTCTTTGCTCTGGCTAGCTTCCACCGTTGCTTGCTTGCTTCGACGCTGTCTTGCGAAAGAGCAAGCAAGCAACAACGACGCCGCCACGAGAAGAAAATCGCTTGTTTGTTGTTTCTTCTGCTCGTGGCAGAATGACGCTGTCTTGCGAAAGTGCGGCTGCTTGGGCGGGGCAACCCTGCTCCTGAGGTTGCCTGCACTGCCCGGTCGCTTTGGATTCGTCGAGGCTGGGAAGGTCGGTCTAACAGAAACCTCTTCATTTCCTGAGTTTCCCACTGCGGACTGCTGGGCTTGGTTGGTTCAAGTTCAGAATTTCCGTTGTGTGGCCGAAAGGTCTTCGGGGTTCTGCTCAACCCGGTGTCCCGGTTTAGCTTCGTTGCCCACTGCTACTGTTTGGATTCTTGAATGATCCGTTCTTCCTCTTGAGAAGTCGCCATTGAGATGGCACACTTTGCAACCCTTCAGACGAGCTTAGCCAGCACCACTCCAAATGCGCGGCTTGTCTTGGCGGGACGGTGCCTGCGGCCTGTGCAAGCAACCTGCGAGTCCGTTGTGTTCGCCTAGGCAGCACTACTCCAAATGCGCGGCTTGTCCAACCCGCGAGTCCGTCGTGCTGGCCAAACGAGAAGCTGGCTCTTGACGTTCTGCCCTGCAGTCATCTTGGCTGCCTCGCCACAGAATGTGGCCGCTTGGAGGCTTGGACCTGCTCTGGTGGTATCAGCATGATGACAGCCGCGATGGCGCGGATGATGGTTCCTGTGGAGCGCCGCTAGCACAAGGGGTGGCACCGTCTGCAAGTCTCCACAGGGATTGGCCACCGTCGAGACGCGGGAGCTCCTCGATTGCTTGGCGCGTTAAATACTTTGCGGCATCTGGCGGGTTTCCTAGTGAAGTAGGGTGTTTCACTTCGGAACGGTGTTTTTACCAAATCCCTAATGACTGCACTGCCTTTCGCTGCTGGAATCCCGGCGCCACGGATCGCGCAGCAGCTCAGCGAGGTGGACCCGTTTGTGGTATAGGATAGATCTTAAATCCCCAATCATCCTTTGAGAGACCCGTGTTGTGACTGCCGCTTGGGAATGTTTGCCAGATGCCGCCGGGTTTCTTCTTCTGAGATAGTATACCTTGGGTTGATACACAGGGTGTCACCGAAGCCTGGGGCTCTCGATGAATGTCTGCAGCTAGAATCAATCTTTCTGGAGGAGGCTCTGGACCACCATGATCCCTGCATTAGTCCTACTACTAGGCCTAAGGACCCATGAGCCCCTGGCGTTCCCCTGGAGTCTGTTGAATCGGCTAAGTAACATACGCTGGCCTGTTGTGGTTTGAGATGAAGAGCGAAACCCTAATTCCCGACTCCTTTCAGAGACCAGTGTTGCGACTTCCGTTTGGGGATGTTTGTCAGCTGCCGCTATGTTTCTTCTTCCATGATACTATACCCTGGGTTGGTACAGTGCGTGCTATGGAGGCTCGGGGCTCCCGATGAACCTTTGCAACTACAACCAGCCATTTTCACAAGGCTCCGGACCGCCGTAACTCGTGTATGACCTCTCCCAGCACCTCACCAGGCCACCTCTCCGATGCTGACGACGAAGGCCGGGGAGGGTCGCCTGGGAAGAGTAATCCGGTCTAGGTCCAGGTTCCTCCCGCGCTGGCTCTCCACCCCCAACCCGACTCCGAAATGCTTCGTGATGCAGTGTAAGGTCTGTTGTTCTGCATAGATCGAAGTCAAATCGCAGGCTTCTGTGGTCTCACTTGATCTTGCGAACTCCCACGAACCAGTTGTATGTGTGTATGTGTGTGTGTGTGTGTGTGTGTGCTAAAGAGACAACGCATTGCACGAAGCGTGCATTTATGAAGCACATGGATCCGTCAACGGAGCAGGAGTGCACCATGAAGTTGTGAGGTACCGTGGGCGTCTCAGGCCGATTGACAATCGAAGGCTGCCGAGCGAGAACTATGATGGGCGAACCGTCAACGGCAACTTCAAGTGCTCGCATTGGTACATTGGTGCGGCGGAAGCGTAGTGATTCCCAATGCCTCGGTGTTCTCCTCCTGGCCGCGACGTCCTGTGAGCAGACAAAGGCTCATCGAGACGCAGGAGCTCCTCGATTGCGTGGCACGTTAAATACTTTGCGGCATCTGGCGGGTTTCCTGGTGAAGTAAGGTGTTTCACTTCGGAACGGTGTCTTTCCAAATCCCTAATGACTGCACTGCCTTTCGCTGCTGGAATCCCGGCGCCACGGATCGCGCAGCAGCTCAGCGAGGTGGACCCGTTTGTGGTATAGGATAGATCTTAAATCCCCAATCATCCTTTGAGAGACCCGTGTTGTGACTGCCGCTTGGGAATGTTTGCCAGATGCCGCCGGGTTTCTTCTTCTGAGATAGTATACCTTGGGTTGATACACAGGGTGTCACCGAAGCCTGGGGCTCTCGATGAATGTCTGCAGCTAGAATCAATCTTTCTGGAGGAGGCTCTGGACCACCATGATCCCTGCATTAGTCCTACTACTAGGCCTAAGGACCCATAAGCCCCTGGCGTTCCCCTGGAGTCTGTTGAATCGGCTAAGTAACATACGCTGGCCTGTTGTGGTTTGAGATGAAGAGCGAAACCCTAATTCCCGACTCCTTTCAGAGACCAGTGTTGCGGCTTCCGTTTGGGGATGTTTGTCAGCTGCCGCTATGTTTCTTCTTCCATGATACTATACCCCTATACCCTGGCTTGGTATAATGCGTGCTATGGAGGCTCGGGGCTCCCGACGAACCTTTGCAACTACAATCAGCCATTTTCACGAGGCTCCGGACCACCGTAATCCCTGAGATGACCTCTCCCGGCACCTCCTCAGGCCGCCTCTCCGATGCCGGTCTTTGGGACGTTGCTTGCTTGCTTCGACGCTGTCTTGCGAAAGAGCAAGCAAGCAACGACCCAAACACGAGAAGAATGTGCGTGTGTGTAAAAAAAGCCAAGTCTTCAGGAAGATTTTAAGATGTGCCATGGCTGATCAGAGACCAGTCAGTCACCTGTGACTCTGTCCTCATTCGCAGCTCTATTATTGTGAAGTCAGTGAAGCTTCTTGCAATAACGCCATTTTCCGCAGCTGGTGTTTCCGCTGGTACAATGAGGACGATGTGAGGCGTTCCACCCTTCATAACTTGAGAGGCAGGAATGCCAAGGACGAGTGGCCAGTTCTTGGCCAGGCACATTTCCATATATATAATATATATATATATATATATTATATGTATAGTATCCATATATTATGCATTTGCCAATCCCTCTGACAAGTTGCCACTTGACCTGTTGAGTCAGGCTCTGAGCCCTCACGCTAGGCGGATCTTGATTAAGCGTTCCCACACACAGGGCATAGAGTGAACTACATCGAGTCAAGTGTATGGTACAAAGATGACTCCACGACTCCGTGACTCTATCTCACTACAACTCTATGACTTTATGACTCATGACCCATGGACTCTATGACTCTTGATTCTGTGACTTTACGATCCTATACACTGACTCTATCTCACTACGACTCTATGACGCTATGTCACTGCAACTCTATGACTTTATGACTCATGACTCATGGACTCTATGACTCTTGATTCTGTGACTTTACGATCCTATACACTGGATCTATCACATAGCCCCACACTCTTCGCTGATGATGCTTTCGGGCCAATTGTCTTCTAGTATATAGGCATAGATCTCTCTCTCTCTCTACATATATATGCGCGTACAATCGCGCACACACACATATACTCTCTCTCTCTCTATATATATATATATACACACACACAAGAAATAAGTATAAAGTATAAATAAACACACACACACATACATCGACGGTGTACGCCGGCTCAAAAATGTGGTTTACCCCTGCCAAGGCAACGAGGCCGAGGAACACTCCCAGCGCCTGCTGTACGTGCACTGGGCGCTGTGCTCAGTTTTGACTTGGCCCGGGGTCTGTCACAGGATCCGATGATTCTGGGATAGGTTTTATACCTCTCTGCAATTGTCTGCATCTGGGCTTCTAGCTGGAAGTTTGCTAACATCGCCGTAGTCAGGTCGGCTCTTCAGCTGATTAAGGTTCGTGATGTTGGGATGTGAGACATGGCCATCTGCGCAAGCACGCGTGCATTGTGCCCGTCCTGATGGTAAACGAGCTGGGTACAGTTAGAACTTGGTTCACGGGATTCAGGCCATACAAGAAGATGGACCAGATTGAAAGCACAATTGCAGAATCGGTGGAACTTTTAACATTAGCGCGAAGTGCTACGGCCCCTCAGGTTGTAAACCCTACGCGGTTTTGCGCAAAACAAGCTCTATGTAATCCAGATGATATAGACCCCACCCTCCCAGAATCCAGGTATAACCGTATAACCCCCCAGGGTACGACCTTGGATTTTTTGCGGGCGCCAAATGTGAAAGACCAGGACAGTAGATCGGTAGATAGATCGACAGACAGCCAGGCAATGACCAGTCAGCAGATAGAAAGCAAATTCGCCATATGTTCACCTATATCTTATGTCTGTGTGTGTGTGTGTGCATGTGTACAGAGTTTTGCGAAGGAATTCGCGGGTTGTTTGCGAGATGATCGGTTGCTTGGAACACTGATCTGCAAAGGCTGCGCTTCGAGAGATGCTGCCAGTGGCGGGATCGGCTTTTTGTGATGCCCTGAGAATCTCCGAGACTGCGGTGTTCCGGAGTGTCGTCGGTTCCTGCAGGAGCCGCCCACATGCACCAACCGTCGCAGATGCGCATCTTGAGGCTACGTCCTCCTCCTGGACTCCAAGCTAGTGCCACTGCGGGAGTTCGGGGTTTTCATTGGCACCTCTATCTTCTTGGCTTGGGCCTCAGCCTTGCAGCGGAGGAGCAGAGCTGTGTGTTCGCGACATCCAGCCTTGTCACTAATTGGCGATGAGGATCAAGCATATTAAGATATGCTGAATAGTTAGTATCTGTCGAGAAGCGAACAGTTGAACAAGCTGAACGAAACACTCCGAGTTCGGATTTCCAGAGTTTCAGGCTTACCGTGGCAGTTTTGCCTCGTGCTCCAGGCATGCGCGTTCGCCCTCCTCTGCTTCGTGCCATTCCTGCTCATGCCGCGCCGGCCTGTTTTCGAAGCGTGGCTTGACGTGCAGGGTTGCGTTGCTACCATAACTCACGGTGATGCTGGCAGATCCGCCTATTCCTTGGCTGACAGCGGCTAGGTATGTCTGGGGCCGGTGCCAAAACGAGCTGCAAGCAGCACGCAGCAATTCTAAGACCGAGGGCCCACAACGTGTTCGGTTTCGGGGATTCGCGGCATGACTAAGCAAGACATAGACATGGCTGTGCATTGAACATCGTCGGGGCGACACCTTGCAGCCTTAAGCGATGGATGGGGACGCATCAGACATCGATGTGGACTACTTGGAGGATGTGGACTTCACCAGTGCCAGTGCTCCGATTGACGAGGGAGACTTGGAGTCACCCGAGGCCGAGGCCCGGTCGTCCGATGCTCGCTCCATCGCCACGAGCGAGGCAGAGCTCGACTTGGGAGCGGCTGGCATTGCACTCTTAGAGGCGCGGCTCCGGCTCTCTCCGGCCCTTGGCGCAGCCGTGCCTGCCGTTGCTGTGCCCGTTTCCCAAGTTCCTCTGGCTCCCGCCAGCCCGGTTCCACGCCGGCTCGAGCCGGAGCTGGAGGGTTCCGTGCGAGCCCTCGCAGAGCAGCAGCGGTTGCAAGCGGCGGAGCTGGCGGAGCTGCGCAGGCGCGCCCTGAGCCAGAGCCAGGAAGGTGCCGGTCAGAGCCAGAGCAGCGATTCGGCCGCCCGCTTGGCCGAGAAAGTGCTGCGGGCGGAGGCGGATGCTCGAGGGGCTCGCCAGGACGCCTTGGCCCATTCTCGCCGTGCGCAGGTTCTTGAGGAGAAGTGGGCCTTGGGTGAGCGAGAGATCGCAGACCTAAAGGCAAAGATAGCCGCCGATGCTGAGGATGCCAGACGTCGCGAGGCCCACCTGGAGGAGAAGCTGACCCTGAAAGATGCACGAATCTCGGAGATGACAATGAAGCTGGAGACAGCCGTGGAGGCACATTCGAAACGAGTGGCCTTCCTGGAGCAGATGCTGGCATCCAGAGACGCAAAGATCCAGGAGCTTTCGGAGAAGCTCGACAAGGACTTCCGCCTGGTACAGCAAGATGCCGAAGGGCACGCGCGGCGCGTGACGCTCCTGGAGGAGACCCTGGCCCTGAGGGATGAGAAGATTGCCGAGTTGCAGTCGAAAGTTGACGGTCTCCGCGAGAAGAAGCGCGAGTTGGTTCGGAAAGCGGAACTCGAACAAGTCAGCACAACGCAGGAAGTTCGAGACCAAGTGAATGCAGAGATTCGTCGCTTCCAGGAGAAGGCACAGGCAGACATTGAAGCCGTCCGCACAGGCCTTAATGCCTTGCATCAGAAAGAGGTCCACATGCTCCAGGAGCGCATCAGCGCGGCGGAAGAGCGATCAAGTGGCCTGCAGTCCCGTCTAGACAACGAAGAGCAGGCACATCAGGCGCTGCAGCTGTCCGCCAGTCGTGTGCGAGCTGAGCTGCAGAACGAGATCACGGAACTTACCGGGTCCTTGAAGCTGAGGGTTTTTGAGATTGAGCGAGCCGCCCTGACGCACGAAGAGGTCAGTGCTGCGCGGCAGAAGCTCGATGCCGAGAATGAGGCTCTCAAGAAGCAGGTCGAAACTCTTCGAAAGGAGTTTTACAACCTGGAGCTTCAGTACAAAGAGGGCCGTGCAAGTGAAAGGGCGGAGCTCGCATCGCTGCGGGAGCAAATGAAGGGCTACTTGGACTTGGAAAGAGACCTGGACGCGGCCATTGCCGGCTGTGCCGAGGCGCCTTTGGCATCTTCCGCGGATGCACAGGAGGCACTTCTCATCGGAACGACTTTGGGCAGTGCCCCAGCGAGTGCACAGCGTCGGATCCAGCAAAGCTTGCTGTTAGCCCAAGAGCTGCAGCGACGTTCCCGCGAGCTCCGCCAGCAGACCACCGCGTCTGAAGAGGCACAGAAAGAAATCTCCCGGCTGAAGCTGGAGCTGGAAACAACCCAGCTCCAAGTTCGTGCCGCAGGCTTCTCAGAACCACAGGTCTACTTGCAGAGCTCCCTGAGGGAGTGCCAAGCAGAGGTGTCCCGCGCAAAATTGGAGCTGAAGTCCTGCAAACAAGACTTGCTACAGGCCCAGCAGCGCGCTGAGCATGCGCAGAGAGCTCGCCTCCAAGTGGAAGAGGACATGCGGAAGCTGCTGTCCTCACGGGACTTCTTGCAGCAGCTGAAGCAGGAAATGGACAGCTTAAAGCCTGTCGCCGTGCCTCTGAAACAGCTACCAACTTCTCCAGTGAAGTGAGCACTTGCACTGCACATAATTCGACACGTTAGGCTCGCACCAACCGATGGCACCTGCACGGGTGTACAGGGGATGGCATTTTACATGCCGAAAAGAGGCAGTGCCACACTTGCACTGATGGCCTTGGTCTGTTGGCTTGCATTTGTCCTAGGGGCAGCATTGCGGCCTTGCCTGAAAGCCTCGTGTATGTTGGACACTCGGTGAATGCGCCGGACGTTCGTGCAAAAGATGACCGTGCTTCTTCACTAGTCACTAGTGACATGGCAGAGGACCCAGGAGAGGGCTGCTAGATATCTTCTGGAGGACACAGCTCTTGTTTTAAGAGCATTGCTGCAAGTGCAAGCTTGCAGGCACGAGCGCAGCATTCGACCCTGGATTCGGCGAAAGGTCCCGAAAAAGCACGGAACTTAACGGGCTTGAGGCTTGCGGGAGCAAGCCGTGATGCGAGCAGTCCAGGGTCTGACAAGGTTGGTTGGAGTGCTTGAGCCCGCCGAGCTGAAGCCAGACTGGAGTGACGTGGCCTGGGGCCAAACGGAGTTGCTTAGATGCTTGAAGCGTGCCGTGGCGGTGGCAAGGGATCATCACAGCGTGTCAGGCCGAGAAGGTCATGCTTGCAGTCAATCGGCCGAAGCCCGTACTTGCAGGCTCGAGCGTGACGCGCGCAGTGGTGCAGGTGTACTCAAGATACACAAGGTCGTCAGGTGAGACTCTTGAGTTTCTGAGCTCCAGGTGCTGGCTTTGCTGTCGCCGTGGCTCTGATAGTCGCCGTGGCTGTGACGGCCTCCCAGCCACACCCGGCTTTGCCTGAGGTTTTTCCGCCCGAAGCTAAGCTTCTTGGTTGAACGCCCATCGTCTGCAGGAAAGCCGAGAGTCGGCTTTTCGTAATTAGGTTTCACTGACACAGCCCAGTCCTCCATGCGGCATCCAGCCACTCAGTTTACCCTCGTGCTATGCCACATGCCACATGCTGTTTGAGTCTGGGTGATCTTTCGCTAGAGATCTGAGATCTTGTCGCACATGCTCGAACATAGTTTTCCACCTCGAACCGTCTAACCACCAAGTACCTCGACTGGCATGTGCGAGAGTGAGCGCCGAAACCCTGAAGCCGGTCTTCCATGGCCGGTCCTAAGGCCGGAGCACCACCGTGAAGCTGGCAGGCCTATGCTGCAGAGCTTTGCGCCCTCCTCACTGGCAGAGGACTGCACGCTTGAAAACAGTGGGTTAGAGGTCGGGAGAATTAGGTGTGCACGGGGCTTGTAAGGGTTGTTGAGGGCTTTGTTATAAGTCGTGTGTTTATTAGGGTTTAGGAAGTTAATATTTGCCCTGCAGATCTTTACACGCCATGGCACACTCCATATATAGGAGCTGGGCGTATGCCTGTATGCGACTGTACGGATAGCCTCAACATGTGTCCGTCAATTACTTCCGACTGCGTGCTTTGCCCAAGCATCGAAGGAAGAAGCCCCACTCACCATCCGAATGTGCGAGCCCGGTCGTCTGCACCTCAAGAGGACTTGGGCCGCCAGCTTTTTCTGCCAGAACTTTTTAGAGTCGGCGACGAGTTTTCAGCAGCTGACCGAGGCGGATTGGATTCGCCGGCTTGCCCAGCATGTGTGGTGCTGGTTCGACTTTGGGGGTTTCGTGTCCTGGACACGCTGTTTCAAGAAGGAGATGTAAGAAGCATGCCCCATCGCGCACTGGTGTTTCCTGTTCCCAGACTTTTCTGCAATCGACTATGACTCCTTTGTCCCCTCATGATTACCCAGTCTTGCAATGCCACCAGCTTGTGGCTAAAGAAGGATTCTTCCGGGTCGGGGGTTGGTTGTGCAGATCCACACATAATGCTTCCCCTGCCCTCTCATGATTATCCGGTATGGCATGCTGTCTTCCGGTTTGAGGATAGCAGCAATGACAATTGCAATGCGACGAAGGCGGTACATGGGCTTTGTTTGCTCCGTGGACTTGATGAGGTGTGTGCTGCATTGGTGCGACCTGGAGAACACGCCGAGCAGCTGGGAGCCCTGAAAGCTTGTGCTTGCGTAGCAGATTTGGACAAAGAAACACTCCGGTCCTGCAAATGTCAGCACAGCCTTCAGGGCAGGCTCTCATGAGAACTGAGATGCCATAAACCTTTCGCCTCTAGCCGCCCCTTGAAAAAGCTCCCGCTGAGACAATCTGACATCCTGGCCAGCATCTCAAGCCGCGAGCTCTGACGGCCAGCCCCCCCGACACGTCGGAGTGCACCGGGCGCAGCTTGAGGCCGCAACGTGTCGGTGCTACTCACAGTCCCAGACCACCGCCTCGCTGGGAGCCCAAACAATCAGAGTCACCAGAAGCTTGGAGCCGAAGCACTTCCGTGAGGTGCACCAACATCAGCCTGTCACTCGTTGTGAGTGGGCCTCGTCCGGCGTCCTTGACGCAGGCCTGGGGCATCCTCACTGATCCAGCATATTCCAGCATGCAGCTCCCAAAGACGGAAGCGCAGCCAATGTTTGTCTGCGAGCCAAATTCCCTCCAGGATGTGCTGCATGCGCAGGCGCTGAGCTTCGCAAGGGCCGCAGAGTCGAGCCAGTGAAGCAAGTCAATGTATCTCTTTGACCCATTATGACCCATTCAACATCAGGTTGCGGCGGAGTATGCAGATGCCAACTCGGTAGAGGCTGCGTTGCCTCCGGCTGCTGGGAGCTGATAGCTGTTGACTGAGCTGCTTTTTCCCAAGATCACCGCGGCTACAAGCCGCCGGTTGCAGTCCGTGGTTTTGGAGGACTGGCCGTCGCGGTCTTGGAAGGAGCAGCGCATTTTGTGGAGGGCTCGTAGGAGCCAGAGAGCATAGGACAGACCAGTACGCCTCAGGTCGGGGACGACGCAGGTGGATCCCCTGACGCAGCTTCCTCCGATAAACCTGGGTTTTGCTACCGCCAGGACGGTCCTTGGCCTTTGGTCCTGCGTGTATGTACATACGCATGCATCTACTGTTTGGCCTGCGCATGCATACATGCCTACAAATGCACACACATGCGTGCATGCATATGCACGCAGAGCACAAGGTAGTGTAAAGCCGGGACAAAGCCTGGATTGCTTGAAGCCGACCGCCAATTGCGTGAGTTGCAAACCGCCCAGACACTTCCAGGAGGTCGAGCAGCTCTTGTGAAGACGCGATCTACTGCTACTGCAGTCCGAAATCCTGTACGACACCGTCAGGAGACGAAGGGCTCGAAGTAACGCGCTGCACGACGTGGCTTTTCCATGCCAGCGTAGTACTGCAAGGATACAGAAGGACTGTCAATGACCTGACTTTGCCGGCGCCGCGTGGGACTCAGCATGTTGTGCGATTGTGTTTCTGGTTTGGAGGGTTGTTGTGGATTCGTTTCGTTTCCCTCGGAGGGTACGACGAGATCATGATGCTCTGCAAACCCATAGACTGAATATCTCAGGATGCAAGTATATTCTGGCACCAAATAACTGGCAGAAGGTGATATTATAAGATGAAGCATAATACAAGATAACACATTTTCATCTCACCCTACCTTAAGCTGTCATATGTTAGATGAACCCTACCTTCGATTCTAGTATATGATGTAATTTTTCATTTCTCTGGGCAAATCCAACGGAGCCCCGAAGCAAAAAAAATCAGATTATAACATATTACCTTCCATTATGGCACGTTATCACAAAAAATCTGTTACGTTGTGTCATAATCATTCTTGTTGTATTGTAATCTATTGTACTGTACTTTATTCTGCACTGTTCCATGTTTTCTGCGATATTTTATTCGATCATATTGTTTCATATTGTGCTATCTTGTTTTATGTCACGTTTGTCTATAGCGTGAATGCATGTGTCGATGTATCACATTTTTGAAGTATGGTTTTACAAGCATGTATAGAAATACATGTTCACTGAGAATAAGAGTATAGAGCATCACGTAGCATTAGATCATGGAATGAGGCAACAAGAACCGAGTATTATATGGCATCGTATACCTCATAACATAGAAGAGCAAGATTTGCATAGCATCGCACAGTGCAGTATATTATGTAGTATAATATGGTATTCTTACATCATGTAATGTTTTCTGTTTTTATGTCACGGTGTGCTATTGAATAATACAACAGGTTGTAGCTCAATTTACTAAAATATATGATGCAAGATGTGGCAATGTTACGTGGCATTAACGTGGAAGTTAGTGTATTCTCGTACATTATACGATGATGTGTCGTATAGTTGAATATAGTATGGCGTAACACAGCACAGCATATCCAAGCGGCATAAGTATCCTGCATAGATACATATGTATATGTATACATACAAAGACATATACATACGTACGTGCGTGCATACACACATCCATATCCAAGGCCAGAAAGCGCAGACAGCACGCTCCAGCCACAGGGTCGGCCGAGCATGGCGCCGAGTGGAAAACATTCCTTCCAGGGACGAAGCCACAAAGTTGCGCTTAGGTACAGCAGTCGCCAGTAACGAGTGATCCTTTGGCGGTTCGAACGGTGTATGATACGGCATCTGACGGAGTACAAGGTTTGGAGGTTATCGTCCTCTTCGGCATCTCACAGCGGGAGGCACTGAGCTGGGGAGGGCTTGCGAAGAGAATGCATGACATGAAGCGAGTAAGGACACTCTAGATAGTCCGATCGCCAGCGCGGTATTGCCGACTTGACGAATTGAATTCGGAAAATAGTCTGATGCTTGGTGTCTCAATGACATCGGTTGGCGCTGGTCAGAAGTCGACGGCGTCTCAACACTGCGACCTGTGCCAGGACAGATCGACACTGAGTGGCACATTCACGGCGGCGTTCGACGCCGGCTTCGATCCTGCTGGGCCCTGAGAAGTCCTAAGCTTGCAATCTTGTGTCATTTTGAAACAGAACGAAGAGGTATTCCCCCTTGCATGCCTGCCGGGGAGGGCCATATCCCTTAGCAAGCAAGTAAACAAGAGACACATAACATCTTCCACACCCTTCCTCTTATGTTACTTTGTTGACTCGGCAAACAGGAGGTCCAAACACAGAGTAGAACACTAGATACGAGAGCGGGGCTGATGAGCACAACCACAGAATCTTCAGAGGGCCTGGAACATCCTGGAACCTCACCGCCGACGCCTTAAACCTGCGTGAACTCCGAATGATGCGGGCCGCTGCCTCAAACAGATGTTCCTCCATCGGCGACCAATTGGAACGGCTTCGACTGTGGACATGCATCGTATCTGCTCCATCTGCCGTTTCGCCTCGCTGAAGCATGGAATTGGAATGCCTGGCATGTACACTGACGGATGCTGGCTCTTCGAGAACGTGCATGGACTTTTATCTGCATGGCGGGCTTCAGCGGTTGAAGGAATTTGACTGCAAAAGGGATTTGAGAGATGGATTCTGGGATGGAGCCCTGCATGACATCGACCCACTTCGACTTGTGTGAATCAAGATTGGCTCGTTGAATACGGAATGCAATCCTCTTGCATGTTTTGCATGTTGATTCGTGGTCTTTAAGGATGCTGTGACCTGGCATGTTGAATCCTGTACATCATATCAGTCAGTTCTGCTCTACACGATTTTTTTGCTGGGTGGCTAACGTGTGGATTGAGAATCGGACGGAATTTAGTATGGATGGGATGAGCCTTGGCTTTCACCTGCCGCACCAATGAACCAACTAGGGGGGGGGTGCTTGCATTGCTCATTTTGATTGTTTGTGGGTGGGGCTGCCGCAGTTGCAGCATCGTAAATGGGTGTGCAGTTGCTACTGCGCATGCTGCGCGTGAGATGATACTTCACATGTCAGACTTTGCCTGGATTGTCCGAGTGCGACTGTTAAAACGCCAAGCTTTATCACGCCTGAACAGGCCAGCCCGTGGTCACAGCGAGCCATGCTGCGCGTTTGCAACGAACTGTCGGATGCCCAGCGTGTGCTTTGGGTGCTTTTGCGGGTTTGTCACGCTGGGCGCTGGGGCTTGAAGCTCAAGACCAGACTGCGTGAACTCCCAGCCGTGATGGGTTTGGTAATATTCGACATAATTTACTGTACTGTATAGTACTGCGACATGCCATAAGATACGCACTATAATCTGCCATAATCATAGGGTGGCTTGATGCAGGCCATCGGAGCTGAACATTCTCAGCTCCAACTGCTGGATTCAGGACTTCCGCAGCTTGGCACAGGTCTGGTCATGCGGCGGCAGGGTCTGCCTTATGTGTTAGGAGTCGACAAGCCATGAACGCATAGCGGCTACATGAATGAGCCACCTATGCACAGCATAGTGGTCCAGTTACACGGGTGAGCATCAGTGAGCCATGCTCCGAGAGTAAATTTGTGCGGACCCAGGTAACTGGCTCATAGGTCGAGGACAGAAGTTTCCCGTCGATCGTGGCGTGCTCAGATAATCTCAGATCCTGCGTCCCGAGAATCACAGGCTTGCGGCTTGAAATTCATTTGCCCGCTCTTGACCAGGTCTTGTGTTGAGCACTTGGTGTGAAGTGTTCACGAGGTGCCACTGCACCGAGGTTTTTTGGACTTCCACCTAACTCTCAAGGAGTTCTTGGTGGGTCATCCTTCTGCTGCATCAGCCATGGCCACAGCTGCTGTGGGGTGCTTCGATCTGAATTTTCAAGAGTTCATCTGGAAAGAGACATGCTACAAGAGTATGTGGAAGCATTGCGATGTACACAGCTTCAACATGGCAGCATAAGCGTATCAGCTCGCAAGTGCCCTGTGCGCTGGAGGCAATGTGGCTGAATGAGGCAAACAACCTCACCGCGACGATGTTCACCTTTCAGGCCTCAGTGGGAGTGGACCGCGGGCCACGGCGCTGCGCTGAATCGTGCCTGCATGCGCCTCCCAGGTCGTCCCAACGGACGGAGCCGATGCCACCCTGGAGATGCGAGACAGGTGGCTCAACTACGCCATGCACTCGGAACCAACAGAGCGTGCACGCATGTCCGCAAGTTCCTCTTTGCTTCATCTTGTCGTGCCTTTCGAGATCACCGGCTTGAACAGCGAAGCAACATCCACTGCAGCGGGCGCTTGGGCGCAAAGCTCGGTGTGCGAATTGGCAAGGATGGCACTGGGTCCAGGGAAGTTGTACTGCTTGGTAATTGCAACTGTGCCGGTTCGTTAGTTCCGCCTCGAAGAAGGTTTTGCCGCAGCTTGAAGGAGAATCACGGCAATTTTTCCTGATGAGGAGAAGTCAGAATAGCAGTAGCTGTATTTTTTCTCCCCACACTAAGAATTTGCCAGTAGAGTGACGCCAACCAAAGCAAGTTGAGCTTCAAGCCATGGGCAGCAGCCTTTGTGCTACAGACGCCGGTGGAGCAAATGCCGAACCCGTCCACGAGCTCTTGTTCCCGATGTATGTGGTGAAGGCAGAGTACACCACACATCTTGCTTGTTGAGGGGCGTCGGGAGTATGGCAGCAAACAAGCAGCTCGAGCATTATACAACCGCTGATGTGCATCGTTGTCCATAGGTAGATAGCGAGGACTCGGCAAACTACACTCCCAGTGGAGTACTAGAGTTACGAGAAGCTGCAAGTGTTCCATTTTGCAGACTCCAGGTGTCTGACTTCTGTCAGATGGATGGACCTCCGGAGCCGCATCACCTTATGAAGTCTCAAGGTTTGCTACACAAGTGGCGGCCAGGCAGCTAGCTTTCACGTGGTATCCTCTGTGTACGTATCTGAGTATCTCTGTCTGAGTGTGCAGTACCTGTAGGCCCCCCATCCTAATGTCACCGGCTTCGCACACCCTGGTATTCGTTACGCCAAATTCAACCCTGAGGCATGTTCGTGATATTTGTTTCGCATCAGTGGCTGAGCTACACCCATCCAGACCCTCATGGACGGCAAACTGCAGTGCTTCGCAGCACCCTTGAAGGTGTAATGTCTGGGTCGCTATACGTTGAACCAGATACCGTATCAATACCATCTGGGAAGGCCTTGTCCCCGACCATTCGCCAACAAATTGGGGATGGATATCTGTTCTTGGATTGGTACGCGATACCGCAAATCACAGCTCGACAGGAGGGAGTCAATGAAGAAGTGACAATGACGGACGCAGCACTTGCAGTGCAGAGTATCCCTGCATACGTGGAGTTGGCGAACGTGTTCATTGCTCTCGTTCCGGCACTGTTGCATACAGAAACAGGGATGCCGTGCAACTACGTCTCGTGGCAGTCCAGAGGGTGGTGCCACACACTCAGTTGGATCTCCGTGTATGTCAGTGAGCTCACGTGAGTAGAACTTGTTGATGCTTTGCAAAACGAACCTCAAGACAAAGGGTGGACGATACCAGATTGACGATATCCCAAGCCATGGCATCGATGCGGGCAACTCTAATCCTGCCATCAGGTACTTTCCTGATGTTCATGAAGAAAGGAGAGACATTGACATGTCACTTTACCTTTACAGCCCAACGAGATGGGTGTTTAGAACAAACAGGGTTTCACATGCACCGTAATACAGTGTGTGAAAGGCTTGCTCACAGGACGCGCCAAATCTGCAGAATCATCCCTGCCACCGGACCATCACCCGGCAGCGCGGTACCGACGTCTCTAGCAACACCTGATTCAAGTAAGCTATATCGTGCTCGAGTCGTTTACCGAGTTGGCTGCTTGCTCAACTCAGTGACTTGTCTAGGTGCGATGTCCCAAAACTGAAGCCCTAAAGCTTTCAAAAGGCACAGGGCATCAATCACACGGCGAAAGGACCCTTGAAACTGTGGTGATGGCATAAGCGACAGACCAAGGGAGCAGTAGTTGGGGCAGTTTCGCTCCCGAAGCAGATGTTGATGGTACTCGTCGACAACAACTTGGACGGATCAGAAGCACTCCACAGAATGCTGGGTCCCTGCCGAGCAGTGAGAGTCAAACTCAGGTCGTGCGGAATGGTGGTGCCACCTTCTATCCAACAAGCCAGACACCAGCGTCATCGTCGTCTATTCTTGCAGGGAGGCCGAGTTCATGTTTCCCCTGAGCTGGCAGGAGAACAAAGTTTCCGATGGTGAGTTTACCGTGGAAGCAGACCGGAGAGTTGTAGCAAAGCTCGGTGAGCGAGCGTTGGAAAGCAAGATCAGGTTTCTCTCGACGGCTGGGCCACTGAGTAAGTATCGTTTCTACTTGGCGCAGAGGCCTTCACTACTTTGCCAACGAAGCGAAGATTTCGGCCTAATCGAGTTCCTCAGCCACTTTCGCTTCCCGGAACGCCTTGAAGAGGCGATCCAAGACACTAGCAGTATGAACCCAATCTTATGTGCGGTTTTTGCCGGCGACGCCAAGATCTTGCGTGCACTTCTTGAAAACAGGGCGGATGCGAATCAAAAGCTGTATGGCCTGTCAGACCTCGGCTTCTACGATGGCCAGACCGTACTAATGGCAGCGACGAAGTCGCGCCAGACACCGGAGGTTCTGTCCACGCTCATCGGGCTGCGTGCGGATGTGAATGCGGCCACCAGAATAGGCCTCACCACCGTAGCCTTGGTAAGAGATCCTGGGCAGCTGCGAGTTCTCATGGAAGCGCGGGCCGACATTCACACGCCAGGGAGGCCTTTCGGGCTGTCCCCACTAGCAGGCGCTGCTGTGTGGGCTTGTCCCGAGACCATCTCGGCCATGCTGGCGGCAAGATGCGATCCCAATTTCACGCCGCACGGCGTTGGATATGGCCCATTGCATGCTGTATGCCTGCAGGCACGCAACAGTAGAAGGGCTATCGACATAGCAAGGATTCTGCTATCTAGCCGGGCAGATGTCAACTCCAGGGCAGCTCCGGTTGGAGTTTTCCAGCTTGGATGCTGGATAGCGCAGGCTCGTGTGGCCATGAGAGGTTTCGGGCACTGTTCCATTGTTGTGAAAACCATGGCTGCCCTTCCGGGCCTGACGCCGCTTGGTGCTGCTGCACTCATTGGTGACGAGGGTTTAGCCCGTCTTCTCTGGGAGAACCATGCCGAAGTGCTTGCGAACCAGCGAGGCGACTTACCTGAGGACCTGGCGATTGCAAATGGACATGATCACTTGCTCCCTCTCCTCGCATCCTTTGGCGTGTGAGAATGCAGGACAATGCGTGCGCTGTAGTCGACTCACTTTTGGAAAGTGTCACAACTTAGACATCCGTCAGCATCGACTAAAACGAGAACTTGAGACTTAGAACTTCATGGTGCAACATTTGGTCTCAGAGTACAGTTAAGAAAGCAGGGTTGCTGTGAGTCGGTAGCTGTTTGGCTACTGTCGGCAGCCTGCCCAGTGTAGCACCCTCACTTGTAGACTCGGCCTGGAATGGGAAGCGCTCTGAGTGGGCTTTGCTCTGAAGTGGAGACAAACCCTGTAAACTTGGCACCAGTGCACGAGTGCCAATTCCCGCTCCATGTCATGAAGGCCACGTGGAAAGGTTGCGTAAGGCGTAAGGTTTACGCTGCGTAAAGCGAGCTACTGTCATTCATGTTCTAGTTGGGACTGAATCTGATTAATTCGTCTATTTCGTCTACGGATTATTTTGCATGTCGGCATGTCCGCACAGTGCAGGTGTCCGACTTCCTTGAGATGGAGGGAGTCCCAGAAGCCCACGCAGTACTGAAACAACGGAGCTTGCTGCATGAGTGGCATGCTGGAATGTTCGTAATTTTCGTATCCCACCAATGGCTCAGCTCTTCTCATCCGGATCCCCAGGGACGGCAGGTTGCAGTGCTGCGCGATGCCCTGCGCGGTATGATTAGTGGCTCCGTGGATGTAGCTGTAGATTTCATTTCCAGGACACACGATAAGCGGAGCATGTCGCAACGTACCAGACAAGAGATTGCAAAGGGCTACGTGTTTTTCGATTGGTTTGCGATTCCGCAAATCACTGCTCGTACGGAGGGTATCAATGAAGAGACTACGAGATCTGATGCTGCGTTGGCTGTCGGGAGCATCCCCGCCTATGTGGAAGTTTCAAACCTGTTTATAGCTCTTGTTCCAGAGCAGCTGCACAAAGACACGGGCTTGCTTTGCAATTATGCATCGTGGCTTTGCAGAGGATGGTGCAGGGCTGAGCTATGGTGTCACCTTTTGTCGAACAAGCCTGACACGAGCGTGGTGGTTGTTTATTCGCCAGCAGAGGCAGAGTATATGTTCGCAATGGACTGGCAGCAGAACCTCATCTCCGAGGGAGACTTCACTGTCGAAAGTGACCGCTCTGCAGTTGTAAAGCTCGGCGATATGGCGGTAATGAGCAAGATCCAACACTTATCAGACCACGGCCCTCTCAGCCACTTCCGATTCTACCTGGCTTTGCGACCCAGGTTACTGGGAAGGGAGAGGAGGGATCGCACACTTGAGGAATTTCTTCTTCACTTCAGGTTCCAGAGCTTGCAGGAAGCGGCGGAGGATGAGAGCTCCATGAATGGCACCATGAGCGCCGTCATGTCCGGAGATGTGAAGATGCTACAGCTGCTCGCCGCCAATCGTGCAGACGTAAACTTCAAGCTGCATGGGCTTGGCGAGCTGGGCTACTTCGACACCCAAACTGTTCTGATGGCTGCTGCCAAATCTCGGCAGGAGCCGGAGATGCTTTCGGCACTCATTCAGCTCAAAGCTGATGTGGAGACAAGGTCCAGATCCAACATCGTTTGCGCATACCTCGTCCGGTCTCCGGGGCACGTGAAAGTTTTGGCTGATGCAAAGGCAGACCTGGAAGCAAGTTGGCCCTTAAACGGTCCGGCGGCCCTGGCTAGCACCGAAACTGTTGAAGCTATGGTGAAGTTCCGTTGCGATCCGAACTTTGACTATGAGACGTTTGGAGTTAGATATGGCCCTTTACATTCAATGACTTTGTTTGGGCGCTCCAACAAACATGCCGTAACGACTGCCCGCCTGCTGCTGGCACATCGAGCCGATGTCAATGCACAGGCAAAGCCCCAAGGAGCCTTCGAACAGAAGTGTCGTGACTCGCAGCGGGAGGTACCGAAGCCTTAAGTCCGAAGCCCTACTGTAGCACCTTAAGGTCTTATAGTACCCTTTAGAGGAGCATAATACCCTAATGCCTAGGCCATACCAACAAACCCAAAACAGGTGGCAGCCAAGGGCTTTGAAGCCTGTCCCATGCAGACGAGATTCGAAGCGAGTGCGCCGGGCATCACTCCCCTGAGTCTGGCAGCGCTGATGGGCCATGAGGGCTTGGTGAAGGCGGGAGTTTTAATGAGCCTCATGAACTACAGGGCCCTTCGTGGCAGCACAAAAACGGACGTAGAAATCCGCAAATTCATCCCTGCGTCAAAACCCTGAAACGAACCTCAGGGATTATCCGATTATGAGCGCCGAAACGCCCCCAAATCAAACTTAAAGTCTTACGACAGACAGGTGCCTTGAAGCCTTTTCAACGCGCCTAAACCATCCTAAACCTTATGATAGCGCCCACCAAATAAGGTGCTTATGATAGGCCTTCAAAATAAGGTACCCTGAACCTTGTGACAGGGCCCTCAAAAAAAGGTACACCAGTTTTCTGTGAAACTCCTAGGTCTACCTAGAGTTTGGAGCCGAGATGATCCCAAATGGGCGTGGCGATCTACCAGAAGACCTGGCAAAAAGGAAGGGCTTAGGGTTTAAAGTCAGGGGTTTAGGGTTTATGGTTTCGTAGGGACCAGTTGTAAGGGTTTGCAGTTTAGTTTAAGGTTTGGGGTTTCGGGTTTTTGGGGAAGGAACGGCTTCACCCATTTGCTTCCACTTCTGGCCACCTTCGCGACATGAGCCAGTCTTGGACGAACGAGTTTCACGCTGCATTCGCAGCACATCATGTATGTCTCGAAGTTACCAGTGCAATTGAATCGGGTCGCGAGAGTCAATGGACAGATGTTCAATCAGCTTGGCCTTCTATGCATCGGGGCCACACTGCTGGATTCCTGTCTTCGCGAGGGCTAAAAACTCTGGCTTTCCGAAGATGTGGGAGACCAAACTCGGCTGCTGTTGCTCCATGGAAAAGAGGTGTTGTCCCGGGTGGGTCCTTTCGGTTGGTTGTGTGCTGTTTCTTGATAAGTCTTCTCGCAAGTAGAGCTGCCACGCTGTCGGATATCTAACATCAAGCCAAGATTGCGACCTGTTCTTCGCAGGTTAACTTGCAACGTTGTCAGATAGCTCACGTCAGGCCAAGGTTCGGCTTTTGCGTTGTCACTGCAACCACAGGGAAGTCTTGCTGATCGCAGCTTTCGCCAGTCTTCCGGTGCAGCTCTCACGGCGCTCGCGTCGTCAAGCACAGGATGAATGCCCTACCGGCGCTGATTGACGACCTCGGCAGAACATGCTTGGCACAGCTATTTCTGGACTCGACTCGGGGGCCCAGCTTGCAAGCTTCGCGCAAGACTCTGTGCTTCCGTGTTCTCGTCGTGTGCCTGATGCTCTCATCAACAGCTTGAACTGATTCTTGGGTGGGTTGAGTCAAGGTTCGTCAAGTGGAGGTACGGGGTCTGCTTAATGTGTCTTCCTCACAGCAGACGCTGGTACCCGACCTCAAGCTGACAGCTGAGCTGTACGACATGACTTCCTGAGACATTCTGGAGGGATTTCCGAAGTTCTGCTGGGGTTCAGTTTGGTTTATGTATGGCCATGCTACTTTCATCAGGCAACAGCGACACAACAAGCGAAGAGATCCAGCACGCCCGACAAAGCCAGCCGAAGAGAAGATGCCAACGAAAAACGAAAAACCCTGGATCGCTTTAGCCCCGGGCCTGAACGTGAACCTCTAAGCCCCTGAACGCAAACTCCAAACCGACACCCCCAGGCCCTTAGCCTCAAGCCAAGCCTTGCCAAGCCATGGGAAACAAGTGTTGCTGTGCGAGTGATGCCCTGGTCGGCATGGAGCCCGTCCACGACATGCTCTTTCCGATGTGCGTAGTTAAGGCGGCCGCGGGGATATGGGAACCTTTGGAGTCATGTCGGGCTCGTCGGGTGCTTCATGTGATAGGCGGGGTGCACAGGGAAGAGCCCTTGGTGCAAATGCCGCAAGGTCTCCGATTTCTTGCGGATGAGTGGCCCTCCTGAGGCACATGGTCACATGAAGGATGCTGGGCGCCGCAAGGATAAAGTAGCTCTTCTGACGCGTGCATTGTGTAGGGTCCTTTCCCGCGAAGGAGAAGGGCTGGCTTCGTGCTTGGCATCCGGGAATGTTCGTGATTTTCATTTCACATCAATGGCTTGGGAGTGCTCATCCAGATCCACAGGGGCAGCAGTGCGCAGTTCTTCGCAAAGCCCTGCTTGGTGTCATCAGTGGGAGTCTCCAGGTGCAGACAGACCCCGTGACTTTAATCAATCGTGCGTCGCCTGTCATCTCAGCAGGTCTTCGCCAACAGATTGCCGATGGCTTCCTGTTTTTCGACTGGTTTGCGATACCGCAGATCACCGCGCGCCTGGAGGGCGTGAACGAAGACGAGACCCGGTCAGATGCTGCCTTGGCCGTCCAGAGCATCCCAGCATACGTCGAAGTGTCGAACCTGTTCATCGCTTTGGTACCAGAGCTAACGCACACTGTGACGGGAGCTCGCTGCAGTTACATTTCTTGGCTGAGCAGAGGATGGTGCAGGGCTGAGCTATGGTGTCACGTCCTGTCCAACAAGCTCAGCTCTAGCCTTATCGTGGTGCATTCAGCGAAGGAAGCCGAGTTCATGTCTCCCCTGGACTGGCAGCGCCATTCGATTGCAGATGGTGAGTTTACCGTTGAATCTGACCGCTCGAAGGTAGTTCAATTGGGTGAAGTCGCGGTGCGGGCCAAGATCGAATATTTGTCATCAGCAGGTCCATTGAGTTCATACAGATTTTATTTGGCAGGTCGTGTACAACTTCTTCGGCAGAAATCCCACGAGTATTGGGAACGGGATGCTTTTCTGCAGCAGTTCCGGTTTCCTAGCTTGCAGGCAGCAGCAAAGGATACGAGCAGCATGAACGGCTTGCTTTGTGCGACCTTCGCTGGAGATGTGAATCTCATTCACAATCTAGTCTACATGGAGGCAGATGTAAACTTGAGGCTGCATGGCCTGGACAACTTTGGGTATTTTGATGGCCAGACGCTCTTGATGGCAGCGGCCAAGTCGCACCAGCCAGCCCGAGTGCTGGCAGCGCTGATCGAGCTCGCTGCCGATGTGAACACCGCAGCCCCGAATGGCACGAACCCTGCCTACATGATGCGGTCGCCAGAACAATTGCATGTCCTTCTAAACGCCAAAGCAGACTTGCACAGCCCATGCCTTCCTTTGGGCCTGACACCCTTGGCTGGGGTCGCGTCCTTCTCATCTACAGAAACAGTTGCCGCCATGCTCCGCGCGCGCTGCGACCCAAATCCAGGCTTGCAGGGCATCGGCTACGGCCCCTTGCATGGGGCAACCTTCTTTTCCCGAAGCAACAAACACTCGGAGGGGACCGTTAAATTGCTGCTAGCACATGCGGCAGATGCGAACGCCCGGGCAAGGCCACAAGGCAACTACTCCTGGATCTGTGCCCTGGCACGCTCACAGTGTGCTGTCACCGGCTTTGAGACCAGTCCCGTAATGTCTCGGGCATTTGCCAGCCTTCCGGGGCTCACTCCGCTCGCTGCGGCAGCCTTTATTGGTTGTCAACCTGTGATGGAAATCCTACTAAGACATGATGCTGTCGCTACGCCGAACGATCGAGGAGACTGGCCTGATACCCTCGCCACCTCCAACCAGCACTCGCATTTGCTGCCCGATCTGTCTACGTTTAGCGTTTGACAGACGTGGTTGCGTGTGCGCAATGGGCTTTTGTCGGCTTGATCGACAGTTCCTGCCCCGGGCTTCGCATGCATAAGGCATGGTAAGCACATGCGCCGATGTTAAAAAGATTTTCAAAACAGGGGCAGCAGCTCATGTGCACCTTGAGAACAATTATATAGGACTTAGCCGTACGTGCTTAGGTGCTCCGGGCAACACCACGAAGCATCGCACGATCAGACCCTGCAAGGGTTGTTATGGATCCGGACAGGTGGGCTGCACTACTAGAATTGTGTGAAGGGCCATATGGTGAGGGTAGGCGCTGTCTGATATTGTGGTGCTTGCTCTACATCCCTGTCCCGTGATTCTCCCGGGGGTTTCTCCCGTCAACTTCAGAGTCGGGTTTGCCTCTCAAAGAGAACACCGAGAGAAGAGGCAGTTGCTTCAAGCTTTCGAGTTATAACTTCAGAGAGGGTATGGGAGGGTGATCATCACGTAGGGCGGGCTCTCCAGCGGTGTGTTGCCAGGGCTCAGGCTCGGACGTGCCTCGTGGCGCCAAGCCAGGAAGCCATGGGCAACGCAAGCTGCCACGATGTTGATAAGGGCGAGCGTCTGTTGGTTCACACGATGCTTTTTCCAATGTACGTGGTCAAGGCCCTCTGGTCAATTTCGGTTTTTAACCTAAGTGGCTAGTCTGTTGCCAGCGAAGCCTCCAAAGCACCAGCAAGACACAACAACAGTTCCCCGACCACGGCAAGAACAACCGAAGAGCCTGGCGCCTGGCAGGTGTCTGACTTCCTACAGATAGAAGGTGCGCCAAAGCCACATGGCCAAATGCGGCAAGACAACTTGCTCCACACTTGGCAGGTGGGGATTTTCATCAAACAAATAAAAGCTTCGCTTGTACCCTGGTGTTCAGCACAACAAGCAAAAGGCAACGCCGAGCACCTAGGCAACCTTGGTTGCACCCTGGCGTTCAGTAGAAGCAAGGTGGAGCGTTCAGGGACTTCGTCGCACCCCAGCGGCTAGCGTTCTAAAAATATTTCAAGCAGGAGGGGATGTTCGTCATCTTCGTTAGCCACCAGTGGCTGGGTGAAGCACATCCAGATCCGCAAGGCCGCCAGTGTGCCGTCCTTCGCACGGCCCTCCAGAGCATGATGGATGGAAGCCTCAAAATTGAGTCGGATCCCGTCACCGTCATGAATCGCACTACGACCTTCTCATCAGATGAACGCCAACAGATTGCCGATGGCTTCCTGTTTTTCGACTGGTTTGCGATACCGCAGATCACCGCGCGCCTGGAGGGTGTGAACGAAGACGAGACCCGGTCAGATGCTGCCTTGGCCGTCCAGAGCATCCCAGCATACGTCGAAGTGTCGAACCTGTTCATCGCTTTGGTACCAGAGCTGACTCATACTGTGACGGGAGCTCGCTGCAATTACATTTCTTGGCTGAGCAGAGGATGGTGCAGGGCTGAGCTTTTTTGTCACGTCCTATCCCACAACCGATACACAAGTCTTGTCGTGGTGTTTTCCACCACAGAAGCAGAATACATGTTTCCCCTCGACTGGCAGCTGAACGCGATTGCAGACGGGGCCTTCACTGTGGAATCTGACCGGGCAGCTGTAATCAGATTGGGTGAGCTGGCCGTGCGCGCCAAGATTGAGCACTTGTCATCAGCAGGTCCTTTGAGTTCTTATCGCTTCTATTTGGCCAATCGCGCACAGTTGCTGGGACAGAAGAAGACTTGGGATGTCGATGCCTTCCTCGAAGAATTCCGATTTTCCAGCTTCGAGGCTGCTGCCAAGGACAGCAACAGTATGAACGGCATCATGTGTGCTGTTTTCGCAAGTGATGTGGATCTTATTCGCAGTTTGGTTAAGTCGGAGGCGGACGTCAATTTCAGGCTACACGGTTTGGACCACTTCGGATACTTTGACAGCCAGACGCTCCTTATGGCAGCAGCCAAGTCGCATCAACCCGCCGAGGTGCTTGCAGCTCTCATCGAGCTTAAGGGCGATGTGAACATGCAGGCAGCAAACGGGGCGAGTACAGTCTTCATGATGCGATCCCCAGAGCAAGTTCGCACAGTGGTTGCAGCCAGAGCAGAGTTGCACAAAGGTGGGCTTCCTCTCGAACTCACTCCACTGACTGGCGTGTCTTCTTGGGCAAACGTTGAAACCGTGGCGTCCATGCTTGAATCTCGCTGTGATCCGAATCCTGAACTGCGAGGGATAGGCTACGGCCCACTTCATGGCATTGCTTTTTTCTCACGGAGCAACCGTTATGCCAACGAAATTGCTGCATTGTTAATATCTCACAGAGCTGACGTAAACCGACGAGTACAGCCACGGAACAGGTACTGCTTTCTTTGCGCCGTGGCTCGGGCCGAATGTGCATTTAATGGTTTTGGAGCATCTTCGCTGATGACGCGAGTCTTTGCCAGCATGCCTGGCATCACTCCGTTGGGTATGGCAGCTCTGGTGGGCGCAGAGGGCATGACAAATTTACTTCTTGAGTCTGGAGCAGAACCCATGGCAAACGATCGCGGAGACACGCCAGAAGATCTAGCGGCTGCCAATCAGCACTTCCACGTGCTGCAAAGCCTGGCGACATTTAGCGTGTAAAGCAAGGGCTCTGTGTGGCTGCAAATTTCAAGATCTATGTCTTCACGGAACGAAAGAGCAAAGACTCTGGAAAGAAGGGTTGTAAGATTCTTATTGCAAGATATGTAACAACGACTCGACAGAGGCGAGTACAAGGCTCGCTTGTTTCTCGCAAGTTTCGGGCAGAGACACTCGCTACCTTATGTGTCCCTCTTCTCGAAAAAGCTTGCAGCAGCGGATACTTGAAACTGTACAGTCCCGAAAGTCTTTGTCCGCCAAGGTCACATGCCAGGCGCGGGATTCGGTGTCGTCTGCACTACCATCTAGCTTCTGGCGAAATGTGGAAGCCGTGAAGTGATGCATCAGCAGTGTTTGCCAGCAGCCCTGCAAGTGCACACAGGCTTGGGTGGACATGGAAGCTTTGAAGGAGGCCCTCGACAGCTCCTGGCAGGTGCGGCGGTGTGTCTGATCGCGCAAAGTCTGACGTGAAACAAGGTGCTTTGTGAAATGTTGGCCCAATACGGTTTGTTCCCAAGACGGTGGTTCAGGTCCTGATCAACGTCAGCTTGGTCGTGGCAGGGGTGGGCATCTTGTGCACCCTGGATTTGGAGCTAGTGCTCGGCCTGCCGGTTTCTCAGAAGGGATCTCCGCTGGAAAGGGAGTCGGCACTTGCAGCTGAAACAAGGCTGGTGGTAGCTTTCGGGGTGTGCGCCTTCATCGTCTTCTTCTTCTTCGCCCTGTGTGGGCGCGGGCCCCAGGGGGTACATGGACAAACGGCGACCGTATGCGACCACCGCGAGTCACAAAAGCTTCCCACCCGTCTGTAAACCCTAAACACCTGGATGTTCAGGTGGTCCTTCGGCCCGTGGGAGCTCACGATCATGACCGTGTTTCTTTCCTACTCGGTGGAGCCCGCCTTCCAAATGGGCCCGGACCTTACACTGAAAGACGGAAGAGAGCTTCTCACAGCGCGTGCACTGTCAAGCTGGGTCACGGTGTTTGCAGCAGCTCGATTCGAGAGACACATGAGCCGGAGCACCAGCATGAGCATTCAATAGTGGTAGCAGTAGTCGTCGTGGTGGTGGTGGTGGTAGTAGTAGTAGTAGTAGTAGTAGCAGTAGTAGTAGTAGAAAGCATCTTAGAGTAGTAGTAGTAGTAGTAGTAGTAGTAGTAGTAGTAGTAGTAGTAGTAGTAGTAGTAGTAGTAGTAGTAGTAGTAGTAGTAGTAGTAGTAGTGGCAGTAGCAGCAACAGTAGTAGTAGTCGTAGTAGTAGTCTTCGTTGTCGTCGTAGTAGGGGTAGCAGTAGCAGTAACAGTGGCACGAGCAGTAGCAGTAGCAATAGTCGTCGTCATCCGAGTCGCACCAGCAGTAGCAGCAGTAGTAGTAGCAGGAGCAGCATCATCAGCAGTAGCACTTTTTGTTGCTGTTGCTGCTGTAGTAGTAATAGTAGTAGTAGTAGTAGTAGTAGTAGTAGTAGTAGTAGTAGTAGTAGTAGTAGTAGTGGTGGTAGTAGTAGAGACTGGGCCCGCTCGGCGCCCCGACAGATTCATCGATTCTTGTAGTGGGAGGTGGTTTGGGGGGGTGGGGGGGTTGGGGGAGGTTGAAAACGTGCTCTGCTTCAGAAATCACAGCTCACACTCTGGGCTTGTTTCACTTCAGCACAGCGGTGAACTTCGAAGTCTGCTGAAACTGGACTTTGCCCTTACCAGTTGCTGGAAGCAGACTGCCCACAGGCCAAGCTAGCTTTGACCTATCTGCCCATACTCTTGTCTGAGTGAGGAAGGTTTCTCAGAACTTTTTCACAGCTTTCCCAGGGCTTTCTCACTGGTTTCTCACAGCTTTCTCACAGGTTTCTCAGAACTTTCTCAATAGCTTCTCAAATGTTTCTCAGAGGCTTCTCACAGATTTCTCACAAGCTTCTCACAGCTTTCTCACAGGTTCCTCACAGCTTGCTCACAGGTTCTCAGAACTCTCTCGCAGGTTTCCCACGGCTTTCTCAATAGCTTCTCACAGGTTTCTCGCAGCTTTCTCACAGGTTTATCAAAGCCTTTTCACAGGTTTCTCAGAACTTTCTTACAGGTTTCCAACAGGTTTTCCAACAGCTTTCTCAATAGCTTTTCAAATCAACCCACAAACCCAAAGCCCTGAGAGAGCGAGAGAGAGAGAGAGAGAGAGACACCCGCGAGACCGCACGAGGGCCAGAGCCTGGACGCTGCTCTGCCCTCAAGCCCGGTAGAGAGAGAGAGAGAGAGAGAGAGACAGAGAGAGACACGTGAGGGAGCTGAGAAAGGCTTAACGCTGCATATGCTTATTCCGGTAGGAAGCATAAGACGTATGACTACATGCACGCGCAAACCCGTGACTAGAACTGTAGTTCCTCATGTATGGGTGTGGGTGCGGGTATGTGCGTGTTATATGTGAATACATGCATGTCGGGTGAAGCTACTTCTTTACAGGAGATGGGCCTGCGACTTCTCATTACATACGAGCCTGTTCTGAAAACGACGAGCGTTCCTAGCAACGACTCCCGCAAAAAGCACTGCGCCATTTACCCGAAAACCGTTCATGCCTGAACTTGTCATGACTACACATAAATTACTGGTATTTACACTAGTTACACTACTTTCGGCTTCTTAGCTCAACTACGAAGGCTTTCAACTACATCAAACTACTTAGTTTGTCCCTTACGAGCTTCTGGCCGTACTACATACATGTTTCTTGAAACCTGCAAAAGTACTGTGATTTGCGGTACTTCGCACACTACCATGTCACAACGACTTTGCTCTAGGTAGCGGGCGCCCAGAGAGCCCGGTGCGTAGTAGTAGAGGTAGAAGTAGTTGTAGAAGCAGAAGCAGACGTAGACCTAGAAGTAGAAGTAGAAGGCAGTCGTAGTGGTAGGCCGCCGTCGTAGTAGTAGTCGTCGTGGTGGTAGTAGTAGTAGTAGTAGTAGGAGCAGTAGTAGTATTAGTAGTAGTAGTAGCAGTAGTAGTAGTAGTAGGAGGAGCCGTAGTAGTAGTGGTAGTAGTAGGAGCAGTAGTAGTAGTAGTAGTAGTAGTAGTAGTAGTAGTAGTAGTAGTAGTAGTGGTAGTAGTAGTAGTAGTAGCAGTAGTAAGACGTAGAAGTAGAAGTAGAAGTAGAAGTAGAAGTAGAAGTAGTAGTAGTAGTAGTAGTAGTAGAAGTAGTAGTAGAAGTCGTAGTCGTAGTCGTAGTCGTACTCGTATAGCACTAGTACTAGTACCAGTAATATACTGGTACCATAGTAGTGGTAGCAGTCGTCGCGGTGGCGGTGGTGTTGCCCAAAATGACTGGAATGTACTAAATGTACGACTTCTGCTGATAGCCAGTGTGCCAACGCAACTACATGTTCACAACAGTATCAGCAAGAAACGACTCCAAGCATGGTAAAGGTAGTAGTTTAAAGAAACACAGTAGCAGCACGGTAGATCTGAACGAGGGTACTATGCGTCTGCAGTGCAACAGATGCCAGGAATTAACACCAACTTATCTTCCTGCACCTCGTTAACCTCGTTTGTCTCTCCTCGTTTAAGTACAGCACAAGAAGACAGACTTGGGGACAAATGACCCCGGATGGACATACGGATGAATACATTGAGCCGTTTGCGGAACTTGTCGAATCTGGACAACGCAACGCCATCATCGTGGACACTGCTGCTGACGAGGGTTGGGCTTTGTGTCAGGCTACGACTTTGTGATGCCAGGGATGCCCCGAGGAGCGGGAGAAGACCTGCCATGTGGGTTTGCATGAAGTTTGCTCGCATCAAATGTTCTCTTGGTTGCACATGGGGCGAGGGTTTCGACTTCCTTTTTGCTTATGAGCAGGCCACATGCATATGTAGACCAGCAGCTGGAACTACTTAACGGAGGAACTTTCCCTAGTAAATGCCCTAATCCTCCAAAGAGAAGCTGGGCTCGTCGAGGCACAGCTCCCCAGACGATCTTTCAGCGTGGGCGACGAGAGAAATAAAGACGGACCATGGTCCTCAAATCCCAAATTCCCCAACAGACGGCGGGGTTTAAGGTAAAAAGGATCGACGGAGTGTTGGGTGTTTATGAGTCCCAGAAAGCGTCGCCAGCGACATCCCAGAAGCAAAATCGCAAGAGGACTGCAGCCTGAGAACAACGTGCAGCCGGCGGAAGGCTCACAGCCGATGGCTGACTGTTGTTCGCAGCTGTTAAATCGTCAACTCCTTGATGTGCGCCGGGTTTAGCCTAGCTTTTGCACCGGCTGATTTCTTGGGGGACCTTGGCCTTCTTTGCTCACTCCGAACTTGGCAGAGGCATGAGAGCAATCGCGGCCGGCCCCGGCCCCGGGTCGTGGATCTGCTCGTGAGATTTCTAATTAGTGATTAGTCTTATTGTTATTATTGTTATGTCTATTTTTGTATTAGTAGTTTAATTTTGATGGTTATGTTTGTTATGGTCGTTATTGTGATTATTATTATGATGCTGATTATGATGATTGTTGTTGTTGTTGCTGCTGTGTGTATTGTTACTATTACCAGTAGTTTTGCTCTTACTGATCTTATAAAATTAAGATCACCACTATTATTGTCATTAGTAATACTGCTCTTCGTGAAACTAGCATTACGGCTTGTGGCTTGTGATAGACCGCCACTCCGACTCGCACCAGGTGGGGACTTGGCCTTGGCCGGGTGTCTCGCTTGCACAAGATCTTTCTTAGGGACCCTTAAGGGGGGTAGGGGGCCTTAATGCCCATAATCAGGACTATTTTAGGAAGCAAAATCTCGTACCCCCCCCCTATCCCCTAAGGGTCCCTTATGAATCTTGGAGAGTAAGTGTTCGCGAGAACCAAATGCAGCTTTCGATTGCATTCCGGAGTTTCAGGAGCACGCACCCGGAACCTTCAGGAACGGGTGCGGAGGTGTCCCGGACTTGGGAAGGTGCGGACTTGGCTGATCATGCTTGTCAGCCAGGCTGGCCCGAGCACAGACGGCCTCTCAAAGGCAAGGTTGGTGCACAAGCGAGTTGCTGGCTGGGTTGTCTGGCTTTCACACAGCAGTACGCCGGGGCTCTTCGTTCGTAGGCGAGCGACCTCCACCCCAAGGAGGACGAGTTACCAGAGGCAGGGCTTCTGTCGGAAAGTGCAAAGCTTGGATTTGGCGAACCCTGCGGCAGACAGAACTCCCGGCCGCAGATTTCAAGATTTCACTCCGAAACCCCTGTAGCCCCAAGTGGCGAACCCCAAGAATGACGGAGGCAGCCGTCAAACGGTCCGTCCACGCCGTCGCCAAGAACTTGATTTCGAACTCTATCAAGCTGATGTTGCCGACCTCTGAGTTTGCAGACAAACTAGAACAAGCTTAGGATTGTCACAAGTCACTGCTTTAAGGTTATCAGACGATAAGGCCTAATTTTTGAAGTGCTATGATTCCGCAATGCTGCAACATTTGTATTGGACCCATGTGGTGATGTTGGTTGGCTGGCCTGATGTGGTGATGCTGTTGATGCGAGGTTGTCTCTTAGGTTGTCCTGAGGTGGCACGGCATAGGTTTGCATGAGGTTGTTTGGCGTCTAGGTTGTGGTTAAGTTGCCGGTTCTCTCAGCATAGAGTAGCATACAACATTTAATGCACGGGGCCCCGGCAGGGCCAGTGGGAGTCACGGCGCATCGGTGCACACGGAAAGATGGCAGCCTCCACGCAAACAACGTCCCGGCTGTCCGCCGTCCGTGGAGGCAAGGCGGGTGCTTCGTGGCGAAAGTTCGCCTGGGTACTCCCGTGTCAGCAATGTGCTGGACTCCATGTGCCATGGCTCACCCGGTGCTTTCTGGCATGGCCCATGTGCATGTGGTGTTGTTGACTCTTCTTCTACCCGGGGTTCTCAGGCCGATTCAGCGACAGGACTACGCGGCAGCAAAAACAGCTGGAACCTCTTGAAGGGTGTGCTGGGTGAAGGAGGTGCGCTCAGCTTGTTGCTTTGTGACATTCCGCTCTCTTTGCTGATTGGTGGCAATGGCGCAGCCGATACCGCCTGCTCCTGTGGAGTCCTTGGTTCATGTGTCGGGTCCGGAGCAAGCGGAGGCGGCAAGCCTGCTCGCCACCCAGGTTGCCTGAAAGTGCTCTCGAAGCATGACTTGAGAGGATCCTGAATAGACCGTTCAAGTTCCCTTCCGCGCTCCGGGGCGAACGCTGCCTCAGCGACTGTGTGCGATGGATACGCCGCTGGGAACGCAGGCTCTTCCCGCCCTCAAGAAGCTGAGAAGACGACGGAGCTGCAGGCGAAGACGGTCGTGCTTCGGTTCATTCATCTTCGTCGAGGCTTTCCTTACGCCACAGGAGTTTCAGGAGGCTCGTGCGGAAACTCAAAGACGTGTGTTCAGCAACGATGCATTGAAGGACACTTGGCGTTTGGCTGAAGAGAAACGCTATGGTGATGCATTGGTTGAGCTTATCCGCATCAACGATGTGACTGCGGCGGGCTCCCTGCTGCAATCGTGGGAGGCCGCCGATTACTTGAAGTGCCTGGTCGTGTCACGTGGATGCTCCGTGGGGCCTTGGCCGAGGAGCTCGCCTTGGTGCGAGTCGAGGAGGAAGGCCAGAGCAACAAATATTGGATCAATGAAAGCTCCTGCTTCACAGAGGCGCGACTCCTCTACGACCCCACTGCCCACTGCGGCCTTGAGCTTCCACTGTGAGTGTGAGTGCTTGAAACTTGAACGTGCCGCCCCATAGAAACGGCTCCGTCAGAGTCAGCAGCGACTGTCAGGATTCTCAGGCCGCCAAAAAGCAGCCTTGTGGGCAGTTTCGCAAGGGCATCAGTGTCCAGAAGCAGAGCAAGTCGCCAGTCTGGGCGTCGAAGCTTCGCACTGTGCCGGTGGCATACATGTCCCGCGACAAGCACAAAACCCGCCTCTCTGAGTTCTGGGCGGCCTGGAGAAAGGCAGGAAGACAAAGCTGGCATCAACTGACGATTGCTTGGCGTCATTGAACAAGCCTGGCTCTGAATAGGCAGTTTGGAATTGTCTGCAGCCGCCCACTATCTACCTGACATCCCGGAACGTGTTTCATTCCCGCATCAAATTTGGTGTCGGCCGCCTTGTTGCTTTCAATGCACGAAAACAGCAGAAAAAAGTGCACGCATAAAGCACGAGTCAGGTAGACCGTCCAGGGCAAGCCCTTCGAGAAGCCAGCGGTGCCAGAAAAAGGTCGACGTAGATGACTGCGCCGAAAGCCCCGACAAAGGACGCTGACCGATGCTTTCAGAGGGCACACATGCGAGAAAGACAAGACACTGTAATCGTCAGATTGCTTGTCCGGAAAGGTCCGGAGTCAAAAAGCTCCACTCATCCCCACGCTGAGACTGTCCGCGATCGCCGCCGTTACCAAGAAATATAACCGGCATTGACGGAGGGTGGTCGTGTGTGGCATGGTGCGGGTGCGAAGGGGGGTGTGCTGGGTGCGGAGCATGGAATCCCGCACAGCCCATGAGGAAAGCATGTCGGTTCCGAGCCCGCCCACCGTCCTGACTCCCCCTCGGTGGGCGGTGCCTGGGGCCCTCCACAGGTCGGATCATCCACACGTTGTCGATTTCTTTGACAAAGTATGCATCGCCAGGCTCAGCGTGCATGCTCCCCCCTTATTGCCTCCTCGCATGAGGCGCCGCCAAGCCGGTCACTAAGCCTTTAAGCAGACGAGTCCAACGGTCTCAGTTTCTAGAATTGGTCCATCCGTGAACGGGGGGGCAGTCCACATTTCCTGTCCCCCCGGCAGGAGTGCTCGTTATGCAAGTGCCGGTTCCCCCGCTCTGGCTTCGATGCGTGCCACCCATCCCCTCTTGGCAATGTAGCTGTCCTGGTTGGCTGCGTCATCAAGGTGTTGGAAATGGGCGTTCGGCTCGGTGAGTGGTGGTGCTGCCTCCGCTCCCCCCTTCTGGTTGCTGGTGCACTGCTCTGTTGTCGCGGCACTGCTCTGTTGTCGCGGCTGCGGGTGTGTTGGTGGCGGCGGGTGGTCCCCCCTGGAGTGCAGGTATGGGTTGGTTCGCAAACGCTCTTTGCGGTCCTGCGCTGCTTGGGTTGCTTGTCTACTCTGACCTCTGCTTCGACTGATGTGGTACCGGGGTGTTGCCTATGTGGCTGCTCCGCTGCTTGGCTTCGTGCCTTTGCTACTTGGTGGGGTGCTGTGTTTCTGGGGGACATTGGAAGATTTTGGTAGAGGGTTGTCGCCTTTTGAACGTTAACATGTGCACACAAACGCGTTGTGTCCATGGGTGTTGTAGAAGAACATATATAATGCCGGCCTAAAAAAAGAGTTTGTAAAAGGGTTAAGGGTTGGAAAGAAGATGCAAGAACGAGAAACGTTAGCATTAAAGAGAGGTTTACAGTACGGTTGAACATGGGTTTCAAGCAGGGTATAGGAGGGTTTACATGAGGCTATAGAAAGATCAACGGAAAGGTTGATAAAGGTTTTTTTGAAGGGCTGATGATGAATGGATAGCGGGCTAAATTGATAGATGGATGGATAGATGGCAAGATACGGTCAGACGGATTGACGATATGGACGGATGGGGTGGATAGGTTGGCGCATGGATGAGCGGATGCATGAATGCATGGATGAGACGATGTTCGGGTTATCTCTCTGCAGTAAGCAGTGTGGGGACACTCGTTTTCCAGTTGCTTCGGCTTTGGCGAAGGCCCTCTAATTAAGTGAGCCTTCAATTGCTCCGTGATGGTAGCTGTAGTGCATGCATGTAGCGGCATCAGCAACATCCGCAGTCGTGGCAGTGTGCGTTGTTCACGCAGTATGGCTTGCAATTTTTTAGAGCAGGCATCAGTGACGGCATTGTTTGTATTGGGTGAGGGAGCAAAGTTTGTGTCGTGAGCGCTGCCAGCTGAATACAGTGTCAGTAGTATTTGTTGTGCTTGGTTTATTTGGGTGCAACCTTAGCAAAAACATTGCTGTCGGACACCGCCAAGCAACCAGAGAAAGAGGCGGTACTGAAGCAGAACAGACGAGATAATGATGATGGTGATGACACGACCACGATTCTGCAAGGTTGCTGCTGCTGCTGTTGTGCCATTTGTGATATTGAGCAGAAAACAAACAGAACACCACCTGCATGCATCTGGGTTTGTAAATGCGCATACATGCATGCATTTTTACAGAAGCAAAAATATGCATATACACATGCGGCGCTGTAACCATGTAGCGGCAGTTCCGGTCCTCGCCGCATTAAGGCAGCATTCGCCATTGCCCTTGGCATGTTTTAGGCACGACAGTCAACGAAATGCTGCTCCGAGGTGTGGAATCATGCTGGCACCGTGCCAGCTGCGCAGCTTGGCTTTTTTTTGAGGGGTTGCGGGCTACTGGTATTTTTGAAGCTCTTTAAAATTGCCCCACTGCGTGCTAGTCTCGGTGCGTGCTAGACATCGCGAGGCATCTTTTCCCGATTGGGAGCCATTTCAATCCTTCTTCCAGTGCTTTGTCTTCCGTTCGGGCCTCAAAAGACTTTTCAGATTCAACACTTCCTACCACTGACGACGTGGCTCCAACATTGTCTGAGATTGTCTGAGAGTCTGGAATTAGTTTACCAATGCGATTTCGCAACCAACTAAGCGTGTGATTGGATCTTTTTTATTCCGGATCTATCTTTTCTTTTCCGACTCGGGTTGTCGCAAGGCCAAAGCCCGTGTTCTCCACCTCCAGCACAAAAACACGGAAACCATTCAAACGAGAGCGATCTTTACCACCGCACTTTCTCGCCAGTTTGGAGGGACATTGTTGTCTCGTGTGGTTTGTTGAAGAGCTCCGACTATGCATAGTCGTTGGGAGTGGATGGGAGTGGACGTCCGGTAGCAGCTGGCAGAGGGTTGATTGATGCCCGAAGCGACCGGATGTAGGGCAAAACATGTGGGCCAAAAAATCATGCGCCAATGGTTTGTTCCATGAGTTGTTGCGGTACCACTGTCGCTCCCATGAATGCGACAGCTCCGAGGAAGGCAGGTTACTGGGGTTTGAGCTGCAGAAGATCAAGCGGCTACTTTCGCAACAGCTGGCCATCGATAACGAGCAGTCTTCACTGACTGGAACTGCCCGAGATTTAGGCTGCCCCCGGTTTCGGGAGCAATTATGCATGGTAGCCAGTTTTACTTCGATCATAAAAGGAGCACAACCACTGCCAGTAGTTATGCTTTGTTTTCAAACAAGATCGCGCACGCGGGGGTGGACTGGTCGTGCTTTTCTCTCAGGTCTGTACTTGTCGTGTACCCGGCGCTGATCATCGCTTCCGGGCGTACGCGACGAGAGCCCGACCTCGTTCTCATGGGCAAGGTGGCCTGTCGTGAAACCAATATGCTTTTGCAAGATGCAGCTCGATAATATTTGGTGCAATTGCCGCACATATCAACATGCCTGGTCGGTGATAGATGCTTCACTGCAGCTGTTCCTGCGGCAGTGGACACGCAGCAGGTGTTCTTGGACAAGGCATCGTGGCTGTGGCCTGGGCCTAGGCTGAGTACCTTGAGTCCAGAAGTGTCGCTTGGATTGCAGCGTACTCGAATGCCCAGGACGTGATTGTGCTGTGAGTCTGCTGGAGACCCTGGACGAATGCCAATTTCTGCTCGAGTGTACTTTAGTTTCACTGATGTGAGTGTGCGAGCACGCATCCTGCATCCTGCTCTGGTGAGCCACCGAATCGGAAGTCCGCGGCCCCTCCTCAGAAACAACGATCATAGTCCCCCATGAGATGTATGCTCGGAAGGAACTCACCTGTCTATAAGAGACCTAGCAATATAAATCATAATCAAAATCTTTATGT